CCCCCCGAGTGGCCACCCAACACTCCGTTGTGATAAGAATGTAGCAATCGTTGTACAATCGGAGACGTACGAGCCACCACCATCCTACCCTTATACAACTAACGACCCTGTCTGATGGAATACCCCGGAAACACAGCCGGATTGTGAGGCAATTCCGACCAAATCTTGGCTAACCGGTCATCCTGCAACACCTATTGATGGATCTCTTCGGTGTTGACAAATGTGGAAGCTGTCATGGTGGCCATAGCCGGCCCAATTGTTACTCGTGACAATGCATCCGCGGCTCTATTCTCAACCCCAGGCCGATATTGGATCTCGAAATCATATTCCAACAACTTGGTGAGCCACTTTTGATGTTCCATGCTAACGAGACGCTGCTCCAACAAGTACTTAAGGCTACGCTGATCCGTTCGGATCACAAAATGATGTCCCAAAAGATACGGCCGCCACTTTTGAATGGCTAAAACAATGGCCATTAACTCTCGCTCATAAATTGACTTGTTCCGTGCTTGAGCGGATAGGACTTGACTGAAATAAGTAATGGGCCGTTGATCTTGCATCAAAACTGCCCCTAAACCAAATCCCGAGGCATCTGACTCAAGCACAAATGGCTTTGTGAAATCCGGCAATGCCAACACCGGCACACGTGTCATTGCCGACTTCAACCTTTCAAAAGCCTACATTGTATCAGTGTCCCAACGAAAATTATCCTTCCGAAGCAAATTGATTAAGGGCCCTGCAATTTGACTATATCCGGCCACAAACTTCCGGTAATAACCCGTCAACTCAAGGAATCCCCGTAACTCCTTCAAATCCGTGTGAGGTGGCCAATTAACCATGGCCTCTATTTTGGTAGGATCCGCCGAAACCCCCTCTGCGGAAACAATATGGCCAAGGTACTCGATAGAACGCTGGCCAAAACTACACTTCTTAGCATTGGCATATAATTGGTATTGCTGCAAAACCGATAATACCTGGCCCAGATGGCCTGCATGCTCCTCTAAGGAATGGCTGTAAATGAGTATATCATCAAAAAATACGAGTACGAACTTACGGAGGAAAGCGCGAAGGACGTCATTCATGAGCGATTGAAAGGTCGTCGGAGCATTAGTAAGACCAAAAGGCATCACGAGAAATTCGTAATGGCCTTCATGTGTACGAAAGGCTGTCTTCGGCACGTCCTCGGCTTTCATTCTAATTTGATGATATCCCGATTTAAGATCGATCTTGGAGAACACCGTTGCGCCATGCAACTCATCCAAAAGTTCTTCTATTACCGGAATTGGAAAATGATTGGGAACTGTCTCCCTATTCAAAGCGCAGTAATCCACGCAAAACCTCCAACTTCCATCCTTCTTCTTAACTAGCAAAACCGGACTAATACTTGGTTGTATTATGGCCGCCGCTAACATCTCCCCAACCAATTTCTCAATTTCCGTTTTCTGAATATGAGGATACCGATAGGGTCTAACACTTATGGGGGAGGTTCCCTCTATCCAAACAATTGCATGATCCTTAGTTCTAATCGGTGGCAGTCCTTCCGGCATTTCAAAAACCTCCCTATACAAACTCATTACCCTTTGCAATTCTAGAGGAACTACCTCCTCCTTAATCGACGATCCCACTCCAAGAGCCCCTAACTCTACCCAAACCCCTTGTCCTTCATGTCTCAAAGCCCTCATTAAAGCCTTGAGTGTTACCGGTGACTTGTTCAATCCGGGATCACCTTTAAATGTCACTTGCCTCCCTCCCAAACCGAACTTCATGAGTAAGGTCTTCCAATTCACAGATACAACTCCCAAGGTTTCCAACCATTGGATACCCAATATCAAATCTGAACTTCCTAGTTCCAGAGGTAGAAAATTTTCAACTATTTCAATTCCTTGTATGGAAATCAACACTCCTCGGCAAATTCCCTCTCCTCGCACCGCTAACCCGGTTCCCATCACCACTCCATAACCTCCCGTCCTATCCACTGGCAAATTCAATTTCTGAACCAAATCACAAGAAATGAAATTGTGGGTAGCCCCACAATCTATTAACACAATTACCTCACAACCATGGATGACCGCTTTAAGCTTCATGGTTTTCGGGGCTATCAATCCCACAACTGAATTGAGGGATAATTCCACCATTCCTTCTTCTTCAGCCGTCTCAGTCTGCTCTACTTCCGTCTCACCCTGCTCCTCTTCCTCACGGACAATCAAAACCTGCAACTCCCGATTCGGACAACGGTGGCCAAAGAAATACTTCCCATTGCACCGGTAACACAGACCCTTCTCCCTCTTAGCCTGCAACTCAGCGTCAGTCATACGCCGAAAGGGCGCCGTTCTGGTGACCTGGTTCGTTGTCTTCTGATTGTCCAAAATTCTTCTTTTTTCATTCGAAGCTCCATTAAAACGCAGACCACTAGTGGTCGTTTGGCCCCCTTTATGTTCATTAATTCCTCTTCCCAAACCGGAAACGTTGGGCCTTGGCCTTTTGGGCCGCGTACAATAAGGTTACGCTATTCCACCCTCTGTGCTACCTCCATAATTCGACCCAGCCCAAACGGTTTCATCAACCTTATCTCTGCCCGAACCTCAGGCTTCAATCCATTAACAAACGAACTCTCCAGAACCTGCTCGGAGATGTCCATCAACGGCGCCGCCAGGACCTCGAATTGCTTCCGGTACTCTCTCTTTCCGACGTCTCCTGCCGGAGGGACAACAACTTCTCACACAAGCTGCCTTCTTGCGTCGGTCGGAATCGCTCGAGAATCATCACCTTCAACTCCGCCCAATTCCGAACCATCCGCCGTCCATCCTCCCATTGAAACCACGCCAAGGCTTCCCCATCGAGACTAACAACTGCAACATCCAACTTTTCGTTCTCCGTCAGGCCGTTCATCGTAAAATATCTTTCAGCCCTAAAAGTCCAACCATCGGGGTTTTCGCCGTTAAACGTCGGCATCTCCACTCGTCTGGTCCGACAGTCGGCGCGCGTTCCAAATTCACGCGGTTGCCTGACTCTCTCGCTCGTCTCTTCTCCTGGCGTCGTCTGTCTCGCCGGAGCTTTTACTCCGGCTGTCTGGGAATTCCGCCGTTCTTGGCGCTGAATATTCATCAGTTCCTCCATTCTTGCCAGCAGCAAGTCCATACCTAGCTCCAGTCGAGGAATCTTCTTCAATTCCTCTCGCACCTCCTCCAATTCCCTTGCGAACTCCTCTCTCGCTCCCTCGATCTTCTCCTTCTCGCGGTCATCAGTACGTCTCGTCATACCAGGAAAGTGCTCTGATACCAAATGTTAAGCTCTTATTTCCGATTAGTAGTATTTAGACAGAATTGCAAGGAAAACTAACAGAAAGCTTGGTTCGTATTAATGGCGGAAGATTGTTTACAGGGAGATAAGGGGATTTTCGAGAGATCCCTTGCTCTCCTGGGTTTCCACTTCTTAGAAGTTTGTACAAATGAATCGATAACCCCTTAACTCTACCTCCTAATCTATTTATACTACTAAGCCTTATTCCTCTCACTAATTCCAAGAACTAACTAACTAATAACTGCCTGCTGACTTAGCCACTTCCTATTCCCTCTTCCCGAGTACTTCCCTCTACATCAGCAACCACTTGAGTTTCAGCTGCCAACCTTGGCTCGTGGTGGCGTTTCCTCCGAGCATATGTAAAACGCACGGGGGGCTTATCATTGGTTTTCTCCATCGAAAGTGGGCATTTCTATCCGTCGTGTTTGGAATTCTGCGCAGTTTCCCCCAGCCGCCGCCGGTTGTGTCTCAGTCGTCCTCCTCTTTGTCGGGGTAGGCACCCGGTCAGATTCATCTCTCTGGCGCATCAGTTCGTCTAGTTTTTTCAACATCAGAGCCATTCCCTGCTCAAGCCTGGGAATCTTCTTCAAATCTTTCCTCACCATTTCCAACTCCTTCTGAAAATCCTCTTTTGTTCCCTCCATCCTCTCTTTCTCGCAGTCGTCAGTCCTCTTCGTCATTCCCAGAAATGCGCTCTGATACCAAATGATAAACTCACAGGCTAATAACAAATTGCAAGCACACGTCTACACAGGAATATGAGTAAATTCACTTGATCAATGGAATTAATTGGCAGAAAATTGGGAAAGATTACAAGATATGGGGGTTTTCGAGTGACCCTGTGCACTCCTTCACTATCTTCAGCTCTATACTTTTCTGATGCCCTTTTCTCTTGCCCTCGCTCCCTATTTATTCGATCACATTTCCCTAGTTACAGACTCCAATGCAGCTAACTAACTAACAGACCTTTCCCTCTCTCAACCCAGCTCATCCTCTCGTGCCAACTCAGCCCCCTCCTAACCGTCCTGAGAAAGTGTTCCCCTGTGCTGCAGCTTCCATCTCCTTTCCTGTCCCCGCATGACCTTTCTCGCGTAGTCTCTTCCGGGCATAAGTGAATCGTAGGGGAGGCTTATCACATGAAGCTCCAAGATTTGTATCATCATGAAGGCTTTTAGATGTTGATTTGTTATGCTTTATTGTTGACTCGTCCTACTTTAAAATCTGTAGTTGGTAACATTTTATTATGGGTTATTGAAAGATAATCCACAATTCGTATGTGTAGTAATGTTTAACACTTGTACCACAACTTAAATGTTATGCAGACTATTTGGGAAATTATTCACGTTCAATAAGTTCATATAAGTAATTCTTTGGCCAAAATATATGGATCCTATCATTTATCATTGATTGAGAGGATGCCTACCGTTTTTTTAATGGTTCATATTGTTTTAATATCACAAACCATTGTAAATGTATAGTATTAGAGAGACACCGTGAGATGAAATTCATAGTTTTCTATAAAGTTTTAATCAGAGACTCAGAGTCTGGGGATTTGAACTTAGGATCTCAACTTTGGAGGAGGATGTGGAGTTAACACCGAGCTAAATTTGAATAATTAAATGCCTGCATTGTCATTTGTTGACACGATTTACCGTGTAATTAGACACGATTGTTTACTTGAAATGTTTCTTAAATTTCAGTTCCCTTTGAAGAGGATGAGAAGGACCCCAGTATTTGGTTTCTTGATCACAACTACCATGAATCAATGTTTTCGATGTTCAAGAGAATAAATGGTAAGTGTACCTCAACTTTTTAAGTTACTGATTATTTTCTGAATTTTCAACGGAATAATTACTTATATCTTTGTGTGGATTTCTTGTAATGTTCAGCCAAGGAGCATGTTGTAGGTTGGTATAGTACTGGACCAAAGCTACGGGAGAATGATCTAGATATTCACAGATTGTTCCACAAGTAAGATCATGGGCATTCAATTGGAGTCAACTGTTTATAGTTGTTGATTTCTGTATCTAATTTCTGTTTTTATAATTGTCCAAATGTGTGGATATAGTTCAAGTTTATTTTAACAATTGAGTTCATTTGGAGCTCTACTTCACCAGCATGGCTTTTCACCTGGTCTTTTTTTTTTTTTTTTTGCTCTGAGACTTTTTATCTGGATTAATGGCTTAACTTTTACTTTTAGTTTGGTTATAATAAACCCCAGTATTTGTATGTGTTTATTGCTCTTTTTTATAAACAAATCCTTTTGATATTGCAGCTATGTTCCAAATCCCGTTTTGGTCATCATTGATGTCCAACCGAAGGAGCTGGGAATACCCACCAAGGCCTACTATGACGTTGAAGAGGTTAAAGAGGTAGATGTTGCATCATTTGTTTTTATATAGCTTGTGCCCTAATCAATTATGTTGTTTTCTGGTTTGTTAACTGATACAACGTTGTCAAATATTGAAAAAGACTGGCTATAAAATTTACAAGGTTTTCTCTTTCCTTTTTTTTTTTCCTGTCCATTATCTCCATTTAAACATCTGCCGAGCCTATCTTCCTTGATTGTGGTAACAGAATGCTACTCAGAAAAGCCAAAAGATTTTTGTTCATGTGCCCTCTGAGATTGCTGCTCATGAGGTTGAGGAAATAGGTATGCGTATGGATTTTTATGTTGAGTAATAATTAATATGCACATTCCCGGTGTTTGGTATTTGTAGACACAAACTTGATACTTTAGTTGATTGATTATTTACCTAGTGATGTTCATATAAAAACTAACCGTGTCCATATGACATCCAATAACAGGAGTGGAACATTTACTAAGGGATGTCAAGGATTCAACCATTAGTGCACTTGCAACGCAGGTCAGATTGACTTTGTTCTTTGTTTCTTTTTGCAGTTTCTTATTCTAGGCTGCCATCTTTTATTATCAACTGCAGGAGTACGTTTTCAGTTGATGCTTTAGTTGTATTAATATCAAACTTAAATAATGGATTACGTTTTATTTTGTTTTTGTTTTATTTTATTTTCCTTTCCGTTTTCCCTTCTTCAGGTTACTGGAAAACTTACAGCCTTAAAGGGTTTGGATGCACGCTTGCGAGAAATACGTGGTTACCTAGATCTTGTTGTTGATAACAAGCTTCCGTTAAATCATGAGATACTTTACCATTTGCAGGTACTTTCTGTTGCCATTTCCTCAGCTCCCTCTATGCATTCTATCCTGTTTTGCAGTTCTTATGTATGCTTTACTGCTTCTGCGTTTTCAATCTCTTTGTTCCGGCTTTAGCTTGGAAGATATACTCAAACCCAAGTCATGATTCTGCTACAGTATTTTTTTATCTCACAAAGAGTTCGAATTTTAAAATTTTCTCTCTCACAAAGTTCCCGCCAATGAACCCAAATCATGATTTGAGTATACTTTCCAAAGTAATTTATACTCAAAGTAATTTATATTTACAATTATAGGACGTGTTTAATCTGCTTCCAAATCTCAATGTGACCGAGTTAGTCAAGGCCTTTGCAGGTATGTTATGCACGCAGAAATATATGTTCTCAGTTTCTAGTAACGTAAGTCCATTTTGATTATATTCCAGATATTTTTTATTAGCATCTGATCCTTGTCATATGCAGTGAAAACAAATGATATGATGCTGGTTATATATCTTTCTTCTCTCATCCGAAGTGTGATTGCCCTCCATAACTTGATCAATAACAAGGTATCATGCTATTTCTTCTAACTCTTCTACCAGAAGCATCCAGTGACATGCTTTTCATTTATCGTTTGCAACTTGCATGTATATATGACTTGAAAGGAACATCACTATGATTATCAATGTGTTTGAAAGCCCTATAAGAAGTTGTGGTGGGAAGTAAAAAATGGCTGCGTATAGCTTGTGAAAATATTAAATTTTCTGCCTTTGCATAGGAGAATTAGAAGGTTCATGCAGGATTTTTTTTTATTCTTTTTTCCTCAATTTGAATAGTGCATGTAGATGAGCTTCTAAATTTTTGAAATGCTGGTCTTCAGATGCTAAATAAAGAACATGAAAAGGCTGAGGATGCAAAGCCGACAGCAGTCCCATCGGTTAGTGGAAGCTGAAAATTTTATTTTACTGATATTTCGGACTTCAACTAGGACAGATTTAGCTTTAGCTTTAGGGATGGCAGGCACCGGTTTTTTTTACTATTTTTGAGGCTCCTCGTTGAGTGTTTGTGTATTCTCCATGTTTCATGTGTAATACAATGCATTTTGTTTTTGTTCTTTTTACTGGCCTTTTGATGAAGTTCCATAATTGGGTTGACGATTTTTCCCAATGTACGCCGGCTGATTTGAAACCTTTGGGAATAGAGCCTCAACTAATATGTAGTATGATACTAGCATTCTTTGTTTTCTTTCTACAGAATTGTGGCAAACAACAGCTTCCGTAAAATAATTGTAACAAATAGCAGGTCTTGTGCTTTAGAAAGGGTGATATTACATGTATATTTTTCGTGCAATATCATTTTTAGCTCAATATTTATCAACTTATTACATGAATCTTTCTTACAATATCAAGGCCACTGTCAGTTCTAAGTCTTTAAATTTTCCTTCCAGTTTGGTTCTCAACCATTGTTTTTCATTCGATAAATTTACTTAGCCTTCATTATTAGTCAAGAAAATAAATCGATACTTTTCTGGAAAAATCATCAACAAAAGAAATGTAATGCTGACATTTAGAAAGAGAAATGGTGCCGGTGGTGATCCCTGAAGATCATAAGGTATTTAGTCCCTTGTCCGGGTTGTGTGAGTTGTTGATGTGAACTTGCCTGCGAGCCTTTCCTAAGATGAAACTTTTAACAAAATTTAAATCACTGAGCCTGGTGATGTCTAGAAGTCTTTGTTTCCCAGATTCAGCATACTCTTTATGCTAATGTGATCCAACCTCTTATGCCACAATTTTATCTGATTCTTTTTTAAATATGAGATTGTTGATTCACTACTAACAGTTTCTCCTTGAAGCACATAAAGACCCAGTTGCAGCAGGACCTTCATCACAACCATTATTCCTTTTATGACTTTTAAAAACTCCACTTTGAGATCTGTAAGAAGAACATTTTGTATCCAATATTCTCGAAGAAATTACATCTCTTTTAACATTAGGAATATGTCCAACCCCTCTTTGAGTCCTCATGGAGTCATCCCACATTTTGATATTAGAGCCAATTCCTTAGACATCACTAGAGACATTGTTCCCCCATAGGTACTTTGGCTCCATTCATTTCCTTGTAATCAAGGAACTATTCTTTCCTAGGTCTCATGAAAAGTACAACCAGAGTCCATGATCAACTCATCTGTAGGATCATTACTTGCGATGGACTTCAGCACTATCATAGGTGTATAGGGTAAAAGAAATTTGAGTACCACATCGTCTAAACACGAGAAGGAATACCAACTTATAAGGACATTGGACCACCCCGCTTAACAGGTTTTTTTTTTTTTTTTTTTTTTTTTTTGTGACTCAACTTAATAGGTTGACCTTTAAAGAGCCGAAGTGCTAAAGAAAGTCCGAAATACCACTAAGATTGGGTCATGTCACTTAAAAGGTTGACCTTTTAGAACTGAAAGTTCATACTAGAAAGTCAGTCCAATTTCATTAAAAGGTCTAATGTGGCCTTCTGTGACAAGTCCAACTAGTCTTTTTTGTCCTAGACATAGATTTAATTTTGTTGACTTTTTTTTTTTTTAATCGTCCTCTTTTTTGGCATGCCACAATCATTGAAGCCTTCACCATTTGATCTTGATTGGTTTCCATTTCACCATGGAGTTTGCTTCCGTACTTTTTTTTTTTTTTTTTTTGGGTGACGAAGCTTGCTTCCAATACTTATGTGTGTCCCTAAGTTGATCATTTTGAGAGGGAAATAGCCTGGAAACCTTTATTCAAGATTAGATCCAGGCTTAGTTGATCACCAATGTTTTCATTAGTTGACTTGTTCTCATCCATCTTGAAGCCATAAGATATTTGCATTAGGTAGATTATGTTTGGCAGAGCCTTTGTATTATCGATTTGTCAAGTTTAGCCCACATTTCAGCATCAATTTTCTCCTTGACCACTTTCCACAAGATCGGATCTTTGCGTCTAGAAACAATTGCATTCCGAGCCTCGTTCAAAGACCTGTCTTATCTCTCTCGTTTATGGTACTTGACATCTTTGATTCCCCCTTTGAGGCTTCATCTACCCTAGGTTTCCAACACGAGCCATTATCTTTTCTCTCCACAGATTGAAGTCATTTTGTAGAGAATTTCATTTCAGTTCCTAGTCCAATCTACTAATTGCAAGCTTTTACAATCCATCAGGAAATCTCTACACAATGAGTGCCTCTTAAGTTTCTCACACTTGTGCTCCCAAAGTTCCATACAAACGCAAAGGTTCTTCAAGAACTCTCTCTAACCTTGGATGCAGTTGATATGAATTTCGATGATCAACTTGCTTGCCAACATATATATTAGAGTAAATTGTACCGTTGTACTCCGAACGAAAGCATACTGGACTCCGGACTTCAATCTTTGAAAAAAAAATGCCCTATGAACTTTTAAGATCGATAGTATTTGAGGTCCAATAGTTAACGAGCGTTATTAATTTAACGGTTTAAGACACAAGGCTCACACATGAAAAGTAAAGATTGTCATTTTTCAAACTATTTACATCCAAATCTCGTGTCTTAAATTGTTAATTTGATAACGCCATCATGTTTTGGATTTTAATTGCAACTGATTTTAAAGTTCAGATTGCATTTTATTAAAATTCAAAGTTCAGGATCCATTATGAAAAAATGAATAGTTTAAGGTATTAGAGTGTAATTTTATTCTATATGTTACAATGAGCGCCAATAAAAATCTAACAACAGCTCTACAAGTCAGGTTTATTAATCATAAGTGCATACGATTAAATTGATGAAAGGTCTTTGAACTTTCTTATCTTTTTAGAATTACTCCCTGTGAAAATTGTTCTATCTTACTAACTCTTTTAAGTTAGTTCCTTAGTTCAAATTCCATTAAAATTTAGTTGTGGTTGTGCCTGTTTAACCCCTACACAGATTTGTTGAATTTTCATTCTTTATTTAAGATAAATTCATCCTTTTTACTCTTTCCATTTTAATGATTTAGGTTCATATATTTTTATTCATAGTTCTCTATTTTCAGGTTTGCAATGATGTCTTCAATAATCCCACGATCTTTTAATCTTTATGTCTTATTTTTCATCTAGGCAGCTAGATAAATGAATCCATTTAAGTTGTTTTCTAGCATCACACGGTTTATCCATACTAGCTCTTTGGATAGAAAAAAGACATTATTTAGTTGGATTTCGTATCTATTTGTGGATACTTTCTATTATTCTATATAATAATAATAATAATAATAATAATAATAATAATAATAATAACAATTCGAGACAACTCTTTCAACATCGATATTGGTTGTTTTTACAAGATTTACAATTGTAGAATAATCTCGAGAATAAATATGTGCGTACTCAGGCTTTTTTTTCTGCTTTTAAATTGCCATTTCAGTACCTCAGGTTTTTTTTTCTGCTTTTAAATTGCCATTTCAGTAGCTAAGGCCCTGTTTATTTCGCTGATTTGAGTTTAGAATTCGAGTTTTGCTACAGTAAAAAGCTCTTAGAAACAGTCACATCTAACTTTTTTGCTACAGTAAAAAACACTCACATAAAATCACATCTCAACTCAAATTCTAAACTCGAATCAGCGAAATGAACGGGGCCTAGTATCTTTCTTCTTTTGGGCCAAATAATGTGAAATAGTAATCTCCTCACTTTTAAAATTTTAAGAGAAGGAAGTAAATAATGAAAGTAAATAATATATTTTAAAATTATTTAAGGTACATAATATTATACTGTGTAAATGTTATTTTTACTGATTAATAGATTTTTTTCACGTAATTTTTTTATGATTAGTAAAAAGATTTTTTTTAATAAATAAAAATTTTTTACCACGTAAATTATTTTTTTAATCATAAATTAAAAATTTACACAGTAAAATATTATTCATTTTTAATAATTTTAAAATATATTATTTACTTAATTTAGTTTTATAAATTAACTATTTACTATAGTTTGTAAAAAAATTCTGACCCCAAAAACATAATACAGGTCTTGGTTTCTAAAATTTGGTACCTATTCTTCTATATTTGGGGTCAAATCTTAGACAATGATTGTCACACGCGTAAGACTAGTGCAGTGCCCACCCCACAATGCCTGCTTAACCTAAGCCAGGAATGTAGAAGCACTTGAAAATATGGTTAGTGGACATCCTTAGCATACAAAGTCCTAACTATTTTTTTATGCAAAAAAGGTCCATAATTAAAAGTAAAAGTGGACGGAAGAAGAAGAAACTGCAGACAAAATCAAGTTAATGGGCTTCCTTTCATTAATCAATACCACTCCAATGTGGGATTTTAGAGAATCTTTCCATTTATGGAAAGTCCTAATTTCCAAAGAAATGGTCATTGTCATTTTTTGAAGACCCTTTATATTATATAATAAACAAAGAAACAGACACCACAGAGAAGTAATAATATTATACAGAAAAAAATGGAAGCAACCCCATTTTTCCCTTTTTATTTTTTACAGAAAGTATTAACTAATGAAGATGGAAAAAGACTTTTTTTTTTTTTTTTTCCCTGGTGGGGTCAATTTTCTTTCCTTCTTTTTTAGTGAGTGGCGAAAGAGTCATTAGAAACAAACAAAAGAAACAGAAGGGCAAGTAAGCTTTAAAAGCAGCTGCTTAAGACTCATTGGAGACTTGTTTGAGTTGCACAAATTTTCTTCCCTCCTTCGTTTTCAAGCCTCAACCGACCAGAATCATAGCTTATTCAAAAAGCCAGTTTGTATATAAGTCTTTCTTTAAACTTGGGTATGACATTTGTGAAGTAATGCTATTGTATATTACTGCCCACAATGCTGTTCCCCTACCTAACCCATAATCTCTCTTATTTATTTATTTTTTTCTTTTAGTTAGCATATACATAATTACAACCCTAAATATACTTATCTCGTTCGTTTCACGGATTTGAGTTTTTAATTCGAGTCGAGATGTAATCTTTTTTTAAGAATTTTCAACTATAACAAAAAAACTTAGAAGTGATATTTTTTTAAAGTTTAAATTCTAAAAATTTGAATCGGTGAAATGAATGAAACAATATATCTTAAACTCAATCATTTAACTTTAAGTACAATGAGAAATCGCCTTTTTGTTTAGATTAATTAATAATACCCCGTTCTAACTTTTTTCCCACTTTAAAATTGGATCCATATGCCTTGGAGATTGAGATCCCAAAGCATGCGTTTCTTGTAGCAAAGACGTTTCGGCATTTGCTCTCCAGAGAAGGAATAAGACGAAGCTACTTGGGCATTTACTTTTTTTTTTCTTTTTTCTTTTAAAGCAAAAGTTATTTGGGTATTTATT